TGGACCGCGGAACGAGGAGACGAAGGGCCGGACGGTCGAGAGCACACGCTCTCTGCACGAGGATCCACGCCTCGCTCGGGAACCGCGTCGAGGATGGGGATTTGATTTCCGAATTGTCGACTCAGGCGAGCTTCTGAGGACGAGCACAACGTCGACGTCCAGGGGTTAAACCAGACGAAATCACCCGCCGCGCTGTGACTACGTCCGGGAGAAAAGGAGGGACGTCGCTTTGCGAAGGAGCGGGAAGAGTTATAAGGGGGAACGCTATCCCAATCGATCTGCTCAATCTTGTCGAGCAGTGAGTGCAATTCGAGGTCGGTGTTGGCGCCACCCAGGGGGACAGTGTAATCCAGAAGGCGCATGAGCTCAACGAGCTTCGGGGGAAGGTACCACAGACGCCAACAATCATACGCCTCCCACAGCAAGGTACCAGCGACCTTCACGCACTACTCGGTCATGAAAACAACCCACAATCCGTGTCGGGGGTTGTTCAGGTAGCTCCCGAAGGATGTAAGGATGGGGCCCAATTCCGCCCAAAATCCTTGGCAGACTTCAAATTGACCGCACCATGAGGGAAGCTGCTGGTATCGGTTGACGTAGTGCCGCGCGATCTCCCCCGCCTCGATCATTTGGTATGCCAGGAAGTATCCCGTGTCCGATCTCATTTTACGCTCGTACCGGACGGTATGTTGGAAGAAGAAGAGGTTCCCGCGTTTCATGCGCCGAAAATTAACAGGGAGAATCGCACGCGTCCACGACATTGCGTCATTCGTCACTGTCAATTGGTTATGCCATAAGCGGTCCGCTTCCAGTACGGGGTCACCCCGGGTCCAACTGAGGGGGTTGTCAAAATAATCGCGCTCCCCCTCCATGCGGAATTTCCACGTGTCGCAGCCGAAGGAAGGAGGAATAAGGGCGTCGGTCAAATGGAGGTCAAGCCGGGCGAGCACAGAGTCCATGAATCGCAAGGACAAGGTGCGACGGCCGCGTGGAGAGGAGTGACGAAGGATGGAGGTAGGAATGGCAATGCGGGCGCGCCAGTCAAAAGTGCGAATGGCTTGTAGGGGTAGTTGACCGGGTAACATGCCGGCGCCGTCTGCAAAACTATGTTCCATGTCGGCAACATCGCGGACGCCCACGGAGGAGAACCACTGAGCAGAGGCAAATAGGGAAGGATGTTCACGCATGGATTTGTCTTGTAGCTCATCGAGCGAGGGGTATCGACGGGCTACCCAAGAAGAATGGTAGCCCGGATGGAAGGCCGGTTCGTTATGGTTGATAACAGGAGGTAGACGGGGTATGGAAGGAAGACCCCGGGGCACTTCGGGCTCGCGAGAAAAGCTCACACCTGGACGCTTACGAGTGGCACTATCGTCCGAGTGTTCCGACGGAGAAGGAAGCATGATATTTTCGTCTTACCCTTGCCAGAACGCCGCGCAGAGTGATTGACGTTTGGGAAACACGGTAAGGGACGGCAGGAGATTATACGATGGCTTGGCGCTGTACAAGGGCGCTCAGAAGGGGGATATGTAGTGCAATAATGGGCTCTACATGGGGGTGGAACGAGATGAGAATAATTGGATATGACAAGTAGTCCGGGTTCGGGGACACACGTGTGAATAATTGCACAGTTTTAATTTTTAATTATTTTATTTTATTTAGTTAATTAGTTGGCATTAATTTTGCTGACATTAGATTAGATCTAGGATCTAGCGCCGCGAGCTACTTTAGTGGCTCCGGCGGGGCGATATATACCTTAGCCCTCTGACCACCAAGTCAGTAAAGGTAACTCGAGTTGCCAGAGTTGAATATCACCTTGGTCGAAGTCCGTCTTTCCCAAGACGCTCCCTTTTACCACAGATTACGTTATCCTTTGCGCTCGGGGGTTCCCTTTCCTTTTCCTTTATTTCACCTATCCTTTTCTATTTCTATCTCTATTTCTATTCCCCTATCTTGTGTTGGTTCCACAGTGCCTGATTGCGATCCGCATTGTGACGACTGGAGTCATCGGGCTCTTGTGTTGGTTCTTTTGTTTGTTGTTGGTGCCATCGGCTTTGGTTGCGACCGGACCGGTGTAGGTGTCTTGGCCATCGGACGACACGTGGGTGTAGCGCTGCTACTTGTTTACGTTCACCGACGGAGGCTGTTGCAACGACGTTTTCCTCGAAGGTCCTGTTGTGTATACGGGACAGTGTTGGTTCCATCGGATACAGGTTGCGACCGTTCCGGTGTCGGTACTTTGCCATCGGGCAGTACGGAGGTGTAGCGCTGCTACGTGTTTGCTAATTCCCGACGGGCTGCGTTGCGACGCCCCCGTCGAAGACCTTATCAAGGGTATAAGGTGTAACAGGTGCTTCGCGAGCATTGGATTTACGACCCATCGGGCCCGGCTTCCTAATTACCGCCCCGAACTCGCCGAGCGACTGCCTGTACAAGACTCTACCACCATTCGTCCCGGGCCGGGCATCTTCCTTTTGCCCCCCCTATCAGGGACTTGAGCTACTGTGGGCGGCAAACCCGCTTAAAGGGAAAGGGAGAATCGGACACTCCGTAGGGCTGTGCCATCGGCAACTCTTGTTGGTTGTGTTGTCGCTGGACCGTTTGGACCCTGGTTCCGGCCTGACAGGCACATTGCACTACAGTGAGAGACGGAGGCTTACCAGAGGGAGCACGCGACGCAGGCGCGCGGCGCGAATAGATCCGATACGAGCGAACTCGTGAAAAGGGAGAGGCTCACTGGCCGGTTACGCGCAGTCGCCCCATGGTGCGTAAAGGGGAGCGACCGGTAACGGGTTAGAAGCCAGCGCGCGGATAAAATACCGAACGGTCGTAGATTAGGCGCGAAAAGGACAGGGACGAGCTTGCCCCAGTTTACTGGTGGGGACGGGTGTCAGGTCTTAACCCCTCAGAGGGACGTCTTGGACACCTGTCCCAGTACAGTAGTACAGCACCTGTCGCCCAGTGCGTGCCGGGTACTGTACACAATTAAAAAACTAGCGCCATAATTACTACTACCGCACGGACGCTGCAACTACACGTGTGCATTACTGTAAACGCGTGATGCTTACAGACCACTGCACGAACGACACGTGGGCTAACGCGCACGCGCAACACATGTAGACTACCACATGGACAACACGTGTGCTGCTGTACACGTACGCCACGCCACGACCGGTCGGTACACCCGCGCGCTCCCTACACGTGGGAAAACCCGCCCACGTATGCTCCGTGCACGGCCGCACAGTTAATATCATCCCCGCACGCGCGACGGTCGTTATACTACAGGTTGGAGTGCAATGCGGTAATTTTGTGTGCGGTTGAATTTGTGTACAAAGCCCTTGGTGTCATTAGGTTGGAGGGTTAGAAGCTGAAGTCCAATGTCTGGGTGGTGAGGTTGGCTTTGAGACCTTAGACCATGAAGTCTACTGTGGTGGACGGGTTGGAGATGTAGGTCAATCTTTCTGCGATCATTTGCGCACGAATGTGTTCGTGTCGTTGAATGTATTCGTATACAGTCTGGCCTGTCTCGATTTCGCACTTTTTGGCGAATTGCTAGAAATATAGGTGATCGCTGACGTTGGTGGTGTCGAGGTGTGCCTTGAGTTTTTGCAGAATGTCGTGCGGAGTGGGCTGCTCGTCGGACATGAGGAGCAGATTGATTATTTCCGACGGAATGGTGTCTATAATCTTGCTGATGAGCGTGTATTTGGTGTGCATGTCCATGCGATTCCTTTTGTCATCAGGGATCGGTGGGTTGCCATCAGCATTCTTGATACCCTCGTTAGTGTACGTTGCGGATCGGAGAGCGAAGAGCCATGGTCCATAGTTGGATCGGTCAAGTTTTGGGATGTATTTGAGATCTATGGTAAGGATGGGATGGTTAGCGGTGGTGTGGGGAGGGACGTAAAGGAGCGCTGCGGGGTGCAGGGGGGAGGGGGTGATGAGGATTCGGTTCAGATTTGTCGTGTGGGTGAGGATGGGATGTCCGTTCCGGCGCGTAGCGCAATCCAGTTTGAAATCAGACTGTCGTTGAGTTTTGCAGTTGTGCGAAGCGGGCCATAACTTGATGAATCGTAATCCTCATGGGGTGGTGTTTTTCTCGTTGTCGCCGTCGCGTCTTCTAAATACTGCTGTGGACAGACTGTGATACAGACAGTCTGTCCTTGTGGTCCGTCAGCGCCAGACAGTGCGCCGTATATCAGAACGACGTGGTTGAAATTAAAAAATATCTCAATCGATTGCTCATGGCTTTCTACGTATAGGAGTGTAACAGCCCCAGCATACAAAACAGGCTGACTTTTCATTTTTTTAATTTGCTTGGATGTCCGATCTTCAGTGCTCGGTTGGGGTGCAGCAGTGTCCGCGTGCTAATCTCACGCCTCTTCTGTGTGCGTGGTTGTTTTCGCGAAGTCCCAGTCAACGACAGGCTGAGAGTGTCCCCGTCGCAAAAGATAAAAAATGGTGATTGCTTGACAATTACAAGTACTTTTTCTTTTTAATATTGAGGTTTTTGTCCGATATCTGGGGCACGCCCCTTTTCTGTACTTCTCAACAGACACTGCGACATCTCTGTCTTACAGTGCTGGGCATGACGCATCCGATTGGAAACGAGAAGAAGCGCTGTACAGTACGATTGATTACCTCCATGCGGCAGAGAGCTGTCTGTGGAGGGGGAAGGTAAGTGGCGTTCGAGGCCACTACGAGGCCTCTTCACAATTGTCCTTGAAGAGGGAAGCCACAGTGTTGCGAAGATGATGTTAGCAGGTTGGTACCATCTTCGTTGCCACACTCGCCCCTTGCCCAACCTCTCCCTATCCTTTTTTCGCTTTCCACCATGCTCCCATCCCCATCACATTTCCGCCACTACAACTGTGCCCCGAGGCACGGGGCTAGGAGCGTTCAATCGCAGAAGTGTACGGAAGCAATACGTTACGTATCACACCGTGTTCAATCGCAGAGGTGTACGGAAGCAATACATTACGTATCACACCGTCCCTGTTTCAGATCTCTACAATCGGATTCGAGGGCAGAAGTGTGCGGGAGAGGCGAGGTTTGCCTTCAGGTTGTTTACGATTGCCGCAGAGAAACTCCCCGAGTGGCTGCCGATGGGAAAATATAGTTCTTTCGAGAGTTGGAAGACGACGACGAGAATCGTCAATGGTTATTGGCGTGAATACATAGAGAGAGCACTGAAGTGGAAGCGAACGACTGGAAAATCCCGCTATCAGCGCGACACAAAAATGGAGGCGGCGTTGGCTCCTTGGCATCTCCTTGTTCACAAACTGCTCCAGCCAACCGCTGTGCGCAAATTTTCATAGGCAATCACTGTGGGCAACGTAGGCGGTCCGAGTCGTGCGTAATTGGCCGTCCACCCCCGCATGAAACCAAGGGCTCCTTCATTTCGATAAATATGTTCCACGCATTTTCGCACCTCCACCTGCGGTTTAGAACTCATCACGACCGACTTGACCACATCGGCGGACGTCGATACGGTCATAGTCACCAGCTCCGCAGTGATGGCGGCGCCGAAATGCGCAAGAAGGCCTTCCTGAATTCCCGTCACGCGCTTTAGCATGTGCTTACTGTTGAGAGCTCATATGGTATCACAAAGTTGGTCAGCACAAGACAGCATCGTTGATGGCGAATGGTGGTCGCGCTTGCAAGTACCTTTGGTCGTACGTTGCGAGCTGCGACGATGTGAGCAGTGCTGCGGGCATTGCGGCGGGTCCAGTCCCTATCCACAGCGACGCGACGCCATCGTCCTTCGCGATACGATATATACTGTGGAACACGTTTCTATCTGTGAATCCCTCCCTGTTGCATGCGAACCTTGATCAGTTCGCACGGGTTGCCAACCACCGCACCTTGACGACAAGAACAGAATCAGTCCGCAAAAAGCCATCAGGCACGCACGGTACCCCATTAAAAACATGGATTAGAAGCGCATCACTCACCCGTAGCGCCAGAACACACCGCAGCGAAAACCTTGACAGGGAAATTGGGCTCCGACAATCCTGCGGTCTGCGTAAAAGCAGATCACAGCGGTCCGTATAGACAGAGCCGTGTGGCACTGTACGTAGCGGCGCGAAGAATAGCGGGAGAGAGGCCTTTGTACAGCGAGAAGAAGCCCTCGTCGCGGGTGATGGTGGCCAAACCCGAGAAGAAGCCGGTGAAGCGTGCAGCAGGCTCCGTAGAGAAGGAGCCCTAGAGTTGGAGACGGAGCTTGATAGTATCAATCGGGTGCGTAACAGATGTAGCAAGGCCGCATGACGAACCGCCTAGAGCTAACTGCTGCCAGAGAGGCGCTGGGCGTCGCTGCTGGGTGATTTGGGGATTGCGCAGCGCGCCGGAACGCATTGCACGAGAATAGCCAGTGCCTCCCTGTAATTCAGCGGTTGAAGGAACGGATGCCGTGACGTTGGGGCGACTTCCCAGGGATCGATACTTTTGTACTGTACAGAGTCGGAAGGGAGAGGAGTAAATGCACAATCCAAGGAATATCATTTGCTATAACCTTTTCTCAGCATTTTTTCGTAAAAAAAATGCAGTGTTTAATTATCGCTATCGCACACTGCTCTCTCGCGCGTCGTAGTGCGAAAGAAAGAGAGCTCTGATCTGTGCAGATTCTCAGAGAATTCTTTCCAACTACAGTACAGGCCATTTGCTTTTGATTGTGATTATTATTTGACATTAATTCAGAGTTTTATGTAAACGGGCACACCTAAATGCCAGAACTTGACAACAAACACGCTACCTGGATATGGCAAAAGTGTAGTTAGGAATTATCGGGAAAGTCTAGCGACTACCGAAAAGAGGTTAAAGTCCGAGTGAGCACTGAGATTTCCTTTTGCCGTTTATGAACTTACGTCAACAACACACATAGGATAGGAAAGCATTACTTACCAAGGAGACAGTTCGAGTAACAGTAAATACAGTGAGAATACGACAGGTACGGCAGGCCCGCGCGCGACCGAAGGAGGGGTGTGTGTGTGTGTGTGTGTGTGCAAGCTCAGGCATTGTAACGAGAAAGCAATGAGGTGTATCCTCTCGAACGTCAGGCAACGAGGACATACTTTAATAGGCGCGACAACTTCGCATGCGGAATTTGATCTTCAGATTGGGACAACCTTTCTTCGCCTCTTAAGACGGGGCTTCATCACATCACATGAGATACCTCTCACGCCCCTATTCTCCAACAGAGAAATGCCACGCAATGACACCACTCAAATGCATCCAGGAAAAACAACAAATGCCAATGATCCCGAGGCCATACTGTACGCACCACCATTAACTCCTCCGTCCAGACCCATCCCCTCGATTCTTGTCATGCATTCCGAGAAACTTTCTCACTCTTCTGCTGTGCTTGCCTCGTTCTTTCTCTGCATTTCTGTTCGTTCTGACACTGCTGTTTCCTCTCACATCCTCAGAGTTACCCCCTCGCGAAGCCGCAGTGGGACTATCTGCGCTACTTGGGTGATGACGAGAGGCGCTGGCGCTACCTCTTGTACCTCCACCGGAATGTGCACTTGTCTGTGTGCTCCTGGACGCCGTGGGTTGCTGCGAACGGCTACCCGAGCCACTGGCATGATGTTGGCTCCGCGAAGCTGTTACGCGGGAATGATCTGTACTTCCACTCATATGCGTATGACTGCCACCAGTACCTCCGTGATGACGGCTGCCGCTACCTCCAGCACTGGCGTTCCCGCTCGCAGTGACGCTGCTCTTTGGATGTGGATGGGAATTCGATCTCACTGCCTTTCCATGGACACGGCTTGCACTGCTCCCAGAGGCGGATGGATGAGGTGTGGATTGTGACGGCTCCTTAGCCTTTTCTTGTTGATATTTATCGTGCCGACCAGTAGTCCTCTTGCTCGATTCTTTCGCTTCTTCTCTCGTATTTCTCCTACTCCTTTGCGGTTGATGCAGGTCCGTTGGCGGGCTCTCGGAGACGTTTCGTCGACTACGCGAACGATGAGCTGCATCGCTAGCGCGGGGAGCGACGTGATCTATGTCGTCATCAGAATCATCTGGGATTATTTCGCCTCGGCTCCTTGCAACATTCCTGTGGTACTCCCTAAGATGTCGGAGTATTCGGGGATTGGTGGGGACTTCGCGCGGAACGTGAAGCACGTGCATGTCCAGCAAAGGGTCGTACTCGGGCGGGGTGTAGCTCATTTTGCTGTGTCGGGCTGCAAGCGGAGGGTGCAGCGGTGTTTAGGTTGCCACTGATGAGACTGAGACCGTCGACGGCCATGAACGAGGTGTCGTTCCGGTATTTATACTTGCACGCAAGGGGGGATAGTGATTGTCTAGCGGAGAAGGGGCAGACCAAGTGGGTGTGGTGATTAAGGGAACAGCGAGTTACGGATGTATGGGAAGGAAACGCATGACTGCAGCGACGCGCCGCTCGCTGGAAAGAGTGTCGGGACTGGGGATGATGCGTAAGAAGCGGAAAGAACGAATGGTATTACACAGTTTCCTTGGGTTGTGCGTTTTCTTTTGTCCTTGCCCTGTGTCAGAGAGCGTCGACACCGCCGTTATCCCTTGAATGGCTCGCATACTGATGAAGTCGAGATGGGGTCTCTACAGGGTGCCGAAATGGCGTGTCTAAAAAAGCGACATGCGTTTATACATATCTAAAAGGCGGACACGTGTTTATACATGTCTACTGCGGTACGGAATACGGAACAAGCACGGCCGCGGCATGTGTCGGAGGCAGGCAGGATTTAACGCACGTAAGCTGAAATGGGCAATTTGTTACTGCGCATATGCCCTGTTCTGCTGCCCTACAGTACGAAGGAGTACTGTACTCGAGAGCCCCCGAGAGCTTACGGCGCCACTCGGTACTGGCAACTTTGGGAGCCCGCTAAATACGGCACGCGCCCTTGAACTCACCTTCACCCCGACAACAATCCGAATTCTTGTATCATTGATTACCTCTTGTATTTCTGCCCGCGCCATCACTTGTCCGACTGAATGACATGCAGGGAGAGCGGAAATGAAAGAACGACGTAGTGATGAGAGCAAGTGTTTAAGAGCGGGCAACGAAGAGACGGAGACACAGAATCCCTCACGCAATGTTTGACTCTTCATCACGACATTCTTTGCCGTCCTGCCGCCAGCATTTACCTTTACCCTCACAAACACACATACAAGTGCCTTCATGCCTTGGCGCCTTCCCCACAGAAACATGCCTGCCGACTCGCGTATGGATTCCACTCCCCAGCCTTAGTTAACTCACCTTCCCTATCTTTCTTCACAAATTAATCCGCCGGTCGTTATTTGCATTACTCCCATCTGCGGACGATCACCTTCTCCATATCGTGCATCCCACGCTCTTTTCATGCTGGTCTCGCGTAAAGGTTACTGATGTCCGTAGTTGTGAACAACAGAGCGCCCCACAGAACCTTCCAACACTTTGGATCAGCCTGATTTCTCGAGCTCCACGCGTGGCTCTGGCAAATATCGCCTATCCGATATTGGTGCCCATCTCCAACGAAATTTCCCCTTCGAATGAAGTGTTCGTCTAAGTACCCCCCTGACAACAGCAGTGCGATGCAAAGTATAATACAAGATTTCTTTCACCGGGAGTGTCTGCATTGCCCTAGGAGTACTGTACAGGTTTGTGTTTTCTATGGAGACAAGTTATTCGTACGTGTCATTCGGTTTGTATGCGCCTCTACGTGCACGGCAGACTCCTTAACCTGACCTTTAAGTCGAGACCAACCGATGATAATCGTGGGATTCTGTGCGAAAATGGTTAAGGCTCAAAAAGTCAAAAAACTAAAGGGCGCGAGACGGCGAGAACAATGCAGACCGACATTGGGCGGGTCTATTGCGGCTCCATCACAGGGCAGACAAACGTCAACCGTTTTCATCAGGTGCGGGGTCGTGTTCGTGCATATATTACATCAGAAGGCACGATGTGTTTGTGATGTGGGAATCTCCGGTAGCCAACAGCTCGACGTTTGCACTTTTCCGAGGGTAAATATCAGGTGCGTGCCAGGGAAGAAAGTCGAAAATAACCAATAGAAGATCTTGTTTCGCGGTGGACTAGGTGGACTAGGTGCATATGCGTGTGTGTGGATGGAAGGAAAGGTGGTTTGGAAAGAGCCCAAGGACCGAGGAGATTGTCCGAGGAGATTGTCTGTCGCGGCACGATACTGTGCTGAGCGGGCGAGGCTTGTGTTCACAAGAGGGTGAAGACGACGGCTGTCGTGGAAGCAAGTAGGGATCACGCCATTGGAGCGGCGGGAAGAGGCGCGACCAGGCGTATGAAGGATGCACATGCGCTGTGGGAGGAGCTCCTTTCCGAGACTTGAGCGTGAACCCGACGGAGAGGCGGGCCGGCGAGAAACGCGTCGGAGTTTCTCTTCAAAAGTGGTTACCGCTTCCTTGCTGCCAGGCTGGCTAGGAACGAGCGCGCCATCAGGCGGGAGAGAGCTGTGACCAGAGATATCAACAGCATTCCAAAAAGCACGTTGCCGAAAGTATCGGGTGTGTAAAATGTATGCGTGCTCTACGTGTACGGTGCATGACTTGAACTCGCCAAAAAGACCCTCGCCAAAAAGACCCTCACCAAAAAGGAAAAAAGCGCATAAAACCGCCCTTATTTTCGCCTGTAAGAAAAACACATCCACATCAGTCGAGCCCCCTGCCTGTGTCGATTCTCACTGCCACATTCCACCTCTCCCATCTCCACCTTCTTCTTCCCCTCGGATGGGGCCGGCGCTGTAAATTTCCAGAAACACTCCTCCGACGCCACTCCCGACTTCCATACCAGACCTCGTCTGCTCATGTTCGTAGTACGAATTCAGAGCATGAACTTGAGGCCTGCAGAACTCTACACTTCTGCCTCCCCACCGCTCCCCTCGTCATCTTCGCTCGCACCTTCCTATCACTATTGACTGTTGAACGCCATGATAACTGTACGACCACAAAAACGAGTTCTTGGACAGGCATGACTGAGAATTCCCCCCGGGCGGCCGGCTATCCCATTGCCAGATATGTCCTCAGCCCGATGCGTCCATCAAAAGGCTACAGCCATTCTCACTCTCAAACTGATAACTGAGGATAGATCAGAGTCTGTTTACCAAAACTTTTTTTTTCTTTTTCGTTTGCAATGCTGCCTCAAGCTCCACGCACTTCAGTTGTTGCAGGTCTGCAACATGCAGCCTCTTGTGATTAAAACTTTAGCCAATATCTCCCTACCCCAACCGCCGTGGTCCAATACATCCACCCTCGCCGTCGTGTCTACGCTTCGGTGTCCGACCTGACCCTCATGGGTTCTCATTTTGATTGACACACAGAAAAGAAACTCATCGAGATGGCATGCTTCCATTGGACAAACTGAGCTTTTCTCACGTCATTCGCGCTCTGGCCAGGAGGTCTCTCTCAAGAAGCCGAATAGCAGTGTTATCTCGTAGTGAGCCATAGAGGCGTACAGTATACTGTAGCAGAAGATGGCTATTGCAGAGCTGTACTCAATTTTGGAAGAGATTTGC